CATATCTGCTCCTGAGCTGTCCACCTCCACCTTCATATCTGCTCCTGAGCTGTCCACCTCCACCTTCATATCTGCTCCTGAGCTGTCCACCTCCACCTTCATATCTGCTCCTGAGCTGTCCACCTCCACCTTCATATCTGCTCCTGAGCTGTCCACCTCCACCTTCATATCTGCTCCTGAGCTGTCCACCTCCACCTTCATATCTGCTCCTGAGCTGTCCACCTCCACCTTCATATCTGCTCCTGAGCTGTCCACCTCCACCTTCATATCTGCTCCTGAGCTGTCCACCTCCACCTTCATATCTGCTCCTGAGCTGTCCACCTCCACCTTCATATCTGCTCCTGAGCTGTCCACCTCCACCTTCATATCTGCTCCTGAGCTGTCCACCTCCACCTTCATATCTGCTCCTGAGCTGTCCACCTCCACCTTCATATCTGCTCCTGAGCTGTCCACCTCCACCTTCATATCTGCTCCTGGGCCGTCCACCGCCGCCTTCATATCTCCTCCTGCGCCGTCCACCTCCACCTTCATATCTGCTCCTGAGCTGTCCACCTCCACCTTCATATCTGCTCCTGAGCCGTCCACCTCCAGCTTCATATCTGCTCCTGAGCCGTCCACCTCCACCTTCATATCTGCTGCTGAGCCGTCCAACTCCACCTTCATATCTGCTCCTGAGCCGTCCACCGCCGCCTTCATATCTCCTCCTGAGCCGTCCACCGCCGCCTTCATATCTCCTCCTGAGCCGTCCACCTCCACCTTCATATCTCCTCCTCGGCCATCCACTGCTGCCGTCATATCTCCTCCTGGGCCATCCACCTCCACCTTCATATCTGCTCCTGGGCCGTCCACTGCCGCCTTCATATCTCCTCCTGCGCCGTCCACCTCCACCTTCATATCTGCTCCTGGGCCGTCCACCTCCACCTTCATATCTCCTCCTGAGCCATCCACTGCCACCATCACATCTGCTCCTGGGCCGTCCACCTCCACCTTCATATCTGCTCCTGAGCCGTCCACCTTCACCTTCATATCTCCTCCTGAGCCGTCCACTGCCACCTTCATATCTCCTCCTGGGCCGTCCACCTCCACCTTCATATCTCCTTCCTGGGCCTTCCAATGGTGCCCTGGCTCTTCCTGAGCCAACAATGACCATAAATTCAGATGGTCTTCAGGAAGTAACCCTCACTTTAGTTCCTGTTCCTCTCTCACTGCAAGAGGAGGAAGTCACCACCACTAAAGTAAGAGAAATTGATTTCACTTCAGGGGATCTGTTGGCCATCAAATTCTGAAAAATACATTTTCATACCTCTGTGAGTGTGTGTATGTTCACCAGGAGAATGTTCCAGTTTTTTGTCCCGAACTAATCGGAGCCTACCCGAAAGTTGGCCCCAGAAAGACCCATGGATGGCGTCGGAGGAAAAGAACCAGTGATATTCTCACTGATACCCCTGTAAAGGAGGACCTTGAAGAGGAGAGAAGGCCCTCCTTAAAAGTGAAAAGATAGACAAAAAAAAAGAGGGAAGGAAAAACGAAAAGAAAACCACAGAAGACACCCAATGTCTGGTGTGCAACGAGTGGTTTTCTATGTCCCGGCCGGGAGAGCAATGGGTGTCGTGTTCAAGCTGTGGCATGTGGTCTCATGCAGAATGTACTCCTGGTGGCCAGAGCTACATATGCCACCACTTTAAGTGACCACTGACCATTAGTTTTGTTTTCTGTTTTTGTTGTATCCATTACTAGTTCCATTGTTATTTTTACTGTTATGTTTACATTTGGTACTGTTTGCTATATCTTTTCCAGTGTTAAATACTGTGTTCCTATTTTGTTAAACTGAATCTGAATTAAATAAAGCAAATAAATAAATCTGAATGTAAAAAAAAAAGCACAACTAATTTATTACATTTGCAATAAATAGTTAGCCAGCTTTAGAGCATTAAGAATGGTTGTCTCAACTGTACCTTGGTACTGTTTCAATTGTACTCAATATGGGTACAGTTGAGACAAAAATGCACCTTATGTTTATGAGCTCATCGTGGAAAATATAAACTACTTATGGCTATTATCAATTCATGATATTTTAGTACATTTAGTACAAGCAAAATAAATATCATGTGAACAATCACTTAATTTCAGCATCTAGTTTTTGTGTAATGATGAAAAAAGCAAAACGTAGAGACACTGTACTCAGTCTACTCTAAATATGAAAAGTATCCATCATCATTTAAACATAGTAGCGGAGCGCGGGGCACACAGTAACGTGGGGTTAGTTGTAACACACGTGGTTTAAATATTTCCACACATGCTAGCATAACAAAATTTACATCATTTACTAGTTACCATATCAACATTATATAGAGAAAAATGTGCGCCAAAATTCAAGTCTTTTGAAGATATCGCTGAACATTTATTTTACCATAGTAAAATTAAATTTCTGGCTTAAGTACATTTTTCATCTCAGTTTTTATTACTCATTTAAAATGAGACAACTCTGCTATTATTTGAATCTCCAATCTGTTATTTATAAGTTTAGATAGTTCTTTAATGCTTCGCTAACTAGCAGAAGACACTAACCAGTTTTAAATTCCAGTTGCGCAGATGGGGTATGTTGTAACACTGCGTTACAATGTGCCCCGCCATTATTAAACTACGCTATTCTATGACATTAGTGATGTTTACACTATTTACTTTAACGCATTTTAATGAGAAACGACACGAAGCAGGTGAATAAAGACTGACAGTCAATGTTTAATGTTCAGAAATTATTATTATTATTTCAAGACATGAAAAGCATTTTGGCTCATTTTTGTGGGCCGTCCCAAGCCTTGTTGCAATGTGTTCATTGTCAAACTCCAAAATCAGATTATTTTTAATTCTTAAAAACGCCATGTATTATAACACAATATTATTTTATTTTACTGACAAAATATTTTAGTTTGTCTTGTATATTTTTTTCATGATATCAGATAACGTTCTAAGCTGTCATACAGTCATGTTACAACGTGCCCCTCAGATGTTACAATGTACCCCACCTACGGGGCATGTTGTCACATTTCATTTCCGTTTTTGAGGGTAAATAAAGAAAAAACGTATACACTATAATTATGAATCAAGGCGACATATTTATACTGGACAAGTGTGAAATTACTGTGGACAGAAAAATTATATTCTGAACCCCTTGTGGATTTACACAAACTGAGAAAGTCAAAAGTGTTACTTTGTGCCCCACTCTCCCCTTTTGCCATACTTTCCGTGAAAGTATTAAAAAAGTCCCAAACCATTGCATCTCCCCTCAAGTGATTCCCAACCGTTTTCGTCAGTGAATCCTTTCTGACCTAAAATATTTTCTTTAAGGTCCCCTACGATTTTAACTTAGCCTAGCATTTAACAATACTTGAGTGTTCACCATCTCTGATGTAGGTTAATGGTAATATGACATTCAGATGCAGGTAAGCAAATGAAATATTTTGGGTTTGTTATAATATTTTAATTTATATTTATTTTTTAAAATCTGGTTGTTCATTTTATTTTATATTTTATGTTGAAAAGCAAATGAATTAAACTTAATTATATCAATTTACGAACCGACCCAATTTCCCCTTACGAAGTGTTAAAGGAATCGGTTCGGTTGAGTGAACGATTCAAGACTCGTTTGTAATTCTTGTCACCATTTGTCCAGCGTGAAACGGGCATAAAGATGAAACCAGCAGAAAAGGTCATTGAAACGCACAAACAAAATGAACTGAGCGATCAAGGCAAGTCTTGAATCACTGCTTGGCCAATCGACTTTGAGCATTGTACCCAGATTGCACACGTATGTCTGCAAGATTTCTGTTAAAGATCGCTTCATCTGGAAAACATCTGCTGTGTACAAATATCTGACAGACGTCTTTAAGATGTCAGTTTTACATACATTCTAAATCAAACATCTCAAAGACATCTTCTAAACGTCTATTTGTCATCTGATAGGAAACATCTTATAGATGTAGGGTAGACTGAGTACAGTAGAGACATTTTTGCTTTTTTCATCATTACACAAAAACTAGATGCTGAAATTAAGTGATTTTTCACAGTTTAGATTTTTTTTGCTTGTGTACTAAAATATCATGAATTGATAATAGCCATAAGTAGTTTATATTTTCCACGATTAGCTCATAAACATGAGGTGCATTTTTGTCTCAACTGTACCCATATAGAGTACAGTTGAAACTGTACCAAGGTACAGTTGAGACACCCATTCTTAATGCTCTAAAGCTGGCTAACTATTTAATGCAAATGTAATAAATTACATTTGTGCATTTTTTTTTTAATTCAGATTTATTTATTTGCTTTATTTTATTCAGATTCAGGTAAACAAAATAGGAACAAAATATTTAACACTGGAAAAGACATAGCAAACAGCACAAAATGTAAACATAACAGTAAAAATAACAATGGAAATAGTAATGGATACAGCAAAAACAGAAAACAAAAATAATGGTCAGTGGTCACTTAAAGTGGTGGCATATGTAGCTCTGGCCACCAGGAGTACATTCTGCATGAGACCACATGCCACAGCTTGAACACGACACCCATTGCTCTCCCGGCCGGGACATAGAAAACCACTCGTTGCACACCAGACATTGGCTGTCTTCTGTGGTTTTCCTTTCGTTTTTCCTTCCCTCTTTTTTTGTCTATCTTTTCACTTTTAAGGAGGGCCTTCTCTCCTCTTCAAGGTCCTCCTTTACAGGGGTATCAGTGAGAATATCACTGGTTCTTTTCCTCCGACGCCATCCATGGGTCTTTCTGGGGCCAACTTTCGGGTAGGCTCCGATTAGTTCGGGACAAAAAACTGGAACATTCTCCTGGTGAACATACACACACTCACAGAGGTATGAAAATGTATTTTTCAGAATTTGATGGCCAACAGATCCCCTGAAGTGAAATCAATTTCTCTTACTTTAGTGGTGGTGACTTCCTCCTCTTGCAGTGAGAGAGGAACAGGAACTAAAGTGAGGGTTACTTCCTGAAGACCATCTGAATTTATGGTCACTGTTGGCTCAGGAAGAGCCAGGGCACCAGTGGAAGGCCCAGGAGGAGATATGAAGGTGGAGGTGGACGGCCCAGGAGGAGATATGAAGGTGGCGGTGGACGGCTCAGGAGC